ATTGTCAGCATGCCTACGTATGCACTTACGTTACAAAGTAATATAAAATTAAAAGCAAAGCAAACGAGGCATGGAGAACGAACTGGAAAAAAAAAGAGGCAATTACCATATTTATTATTTAATAAATTAAAATTAATTTATAAATAAATATTTTCAAATATCATAACTTTTTTTAAAAAAAATGTAAATTAATAAAATTATAATTAAAATTGGTAGCCCATAACAAAATAATTAGTGGCTATAACTTACAACTTTTGCCATCCTTTTCCCAAAGGAAGTGGCTTGCACTTGGATGATGTCCTTCAGATTCAGAGAGTCTAATAGATAATTTAGTTATTAAGGCGAGTTAGATCTGGTCTGTTATGTTAGAAAGCTACTCAAACACCAATTGTGTTGACATTTTGCCATCGGTCCCCTTGTTTACCAACTAAACTAAAATATGACACTGGTTGGTTTTTGTCTGCAACTAGCATTAATTGCCACTGGAAATCTTGTCATTAAGAAAACAGCAAATCACTGCACATGCATGGAGAGATACATGCAAGTGCAATATATAATTTCTGTTAACATCATCGACTTAATCCATGATATTATGCAACAAGTAGCAGAAACAAATTAGAGAAATGACTGCTAACTAGCAAGGACTTTTCCTAGTTCATCTAGATTCTATTAAGTGTTTTATGCAGCCTCTGTTGGATTTTTGGGGTAAGAAGGAGGGATGGAGAGAGAACTTGGAGGAGAGTAGAAGAGAAACCCGGAGTTCCCTATTTTGGTGAGGTCAGATCCCATTTTCTTCCATTAATATTCTGCTATTTATAGCAAAAACAATACAACATAACATAGAGCATAAAGCCATAAACATGGAAGGGTGCAGACATTCACCCAACCGTAGAGGAGAAACCATGCTTTCTCTTTCTCTCAATTTCCATCAATTTCTTCCTTTTTATAGAGGAAGGCTACACATAAAATAATAATATTTTTCTACTTAATACAATAATTATTGACTACTTAAAACAATGACTAAAATGATGAAGTTTGCTGCCATTTCTTGGAGCCCATGTGAAGCTCCATGTTGCTGTCCTTTGCTGCTACTGTGCAGTCATATTGCAGCATCATTTAGCAGATTTCATATGATTGCATTTTCAGCTTTCATGCCATAGCTCCAACAGCCTCTTTTAAACACAATGTTTTTTCAATAAATGTTCGATCAACGGAATAAGGATCAACCCACATTTTAAACAATCATATTTGAGCCTACTCAAATCAAGCTAGGCTCTATTTTAACTTGTTTACAAATCGAGGCAAAAGCTTGAGGTTGGTGATCAAGGCTCTATTTATGTTCAAATATGAAAGAACAAATTCATGTCATTGCTAAGTGCTCAAAAACAAACAAATCTGAAAATCAAGTAAACAAAATCACAAAGGGTCTTTAGAAATAAGCATATGCATCATAAAACAGGCGGCCAAAACTGAAATCAAGAACAACAATCCTATCAGCATGCAAGAAATGAACAGGAGAAGCGTCAAATTTTGATTTGAAGAGAGGGTGGGGACTTCCTCTAGCTTTTGAGCTACTAAAGAGGTTTGAACTAGAGATTATTAGTTAGAGGACTTCTTTAGCTCTTGCAGGTTCAAATCCGCCCTGCAATGTTAAATATATAGATGAAACAGAAGCACTAAAGAGCTATTGTTTTGATATTTTGTTACTGGTCTCCTGTTATATATGCACTAAAATATCCTAGTTTGGTTTTGTCGGCAACTAGCTTTTATTTAACATAAAACCAAATATTGTATGTGCGATGTTGCATCATTTTAACATCAACTTTCAGAATGTTAGAACAAGATAGAATGGACTCCCATGTCTAGAACATTACGCCATTTTAATGTCTAATAACTTTGATAATTTAGTCCAATACCAAAAAACGAACACAGAAACCATATTCCTCACAAAAACCTAATTCATTATCAATCTCTGTGATGGTTTCCCAATCCCTTCAGCCTCACTTTGTTCTCATACCCTATGTGCCAGGGCCCCCTGACTCCTATGGTAGACATGGGCAAGTTATTGGGAAGAAATGGTGTGAGAATCACCATAGTCACTGTTGGAATTATAATTAGAAATGTGGCATTCAAACCTGCAAAATGATGAAATGAAACTTCCATGAAATGGCAGCAATGAGGCTGAAAATTGACAGCAAATATGGCAGCAATTTAGCTGCAAATATGATGGTAATGTAGCTGTCAAATGACAGAAAAAATATGAAGCAAGCTAAGCTGCAAATGTTGATAAATGAAGCTGCAATGAATAGAAAATGAAATGCAAATGCAAAAGCAATGCAAAAGCAAATGAAATGAAAGGCTGCAAAGTAGCTGCAAAATCACATCAAGCATGCAGCAAAAGTTGTTGTCTTTTATTTGTCTTAGATGTATTTTAATTGTCGCTTTTTAATGTAGAAAAGTTGCT